GTCTTGTTCTTTGACCATGAAGTCGTACATCATGTTGCTCCTCTGTTTCTTGCTCTCTGTAAGTTATTTGTCTTAATTTTGGTGCTTGAAGTATGGTTTGACGTTGTTCAGAAGTTTCTTGTTGTCTATATCCAGTTTGCCTTGATGATTCTGACTGAACTTTGGCTTTGTGCTGTTCAACAGTTTCTTGCTGTCTCTGAGTAGCCTGCCTTTCAGCTTGAGCTCGAAGTCTAACTTTACATTGTTCCAAAGTCTCTTCTGTATTTGAGCAGCATGTCTTGCAGCTTGTGCTTGAAGTCTTTGATTGCGTTCTTCTTCTGTTTCAGCTGCTCTTTGTGCTTGCATTCTTTTAGCGGCAGAAGACTTTCCATAGAAAGGGCGTTTCTTGGATGGCATAATCACCTGTATCACTAAACAATAACTTGCAATTCACAAAGTTACTAAATCACTTATGAAACCACTTAGCACTATTTAAAGAAAACTGTTTTTGGAAATACTGAATTGACAGCAAGGTAATCTGAGTGTCTCCCGCCATAATGCTTTTTATGTGCAAGACGTGCTTATGTTTGTATGCTTATTACAAAAAAATGGTGCAATAATCATTCATTGTCAATTTCATCATTAAATACTATGCCAAATACAAAATAAATAGCACCATTACATTTCTTGTAAAAAACTGGTTATTATGAAGTTATTTTAAAATTTGTTAGTTCAACCATTTGGTTTCCTATAGTGAACAAAATAAACAAACTTCCTCTTTTATATATATAGATAGATAGATTCTTCAAGATCTTGTTTTTGTTATCTTACGCCTTTTAATAAATATGGGAACATTGACAAGGAAATAATATAATAGCCAATGCTCGTGTGTATAGTTTAAAAACATTGGATAGAAAAAAGATCATTGCTTTGTACTCATCGTTATACTGTAGGTTTTTTTGGCTTGTAGATTATTATTAGTTTATTACAGCAGAGAAAAAGTGGGTAGAGTAATATTACAAAATCTCGGTGACCTTTCTTAAAGCTCCTGCACCAAAACTAGTTCTTTTTGCTTAGTTTATCTAATTATTATTTCTGACTCATTACTTTTAAGTAATGTTATCATGTGTCTTTTTATTAAAGTTTTTATTTTTAATTATCTCTAAACTTTTGGTGTGAGTCAACTGACAATCCATTTGGGGAATTTTAAACTTCATTATTATAGATCAGTCTTTCCTTTATAACTGAAATGTTACAATGTAATACTTGTCAAAAGCTTTTGAAAACATTTTTAACATTTTCATCTGAAAGTGGACTTGATGAAAAACTGAAATTATTAAAATGTCATCTGGGCTTTCCAGATTTTATTGATAATTTGCCATATACTGATAGTTGTTTTAAATTATACAGAGGTGACTCTGAAACGATCACCACTGATAAGATCTGTTAAAGATAAAAAGTGAACATGTCATAGGCATAAAATATAGTAATAACTGTTGCTCTTTTAAGCTCTTTAGTATACATGTAGATATTATAGTGAAATGGCTAGAATACTGTGAGAAACAAAAACAGTATATATATATATTTTACTGTAATATGACGTTATTTAACTTTAGAAATATATTTGTTTAGCACTTGTCATTGTGAGCAACATAAAATTAACAGATTTTGCATTTATTTAATTAATCAAGCAATTAGTTTTTGAAATCGGGCTGTAATAATAATATTAACATTTACAAAACTGCTCAATCAACAAACTAGCTTTCCTGTGCTCCTGTTACTAAACTAAGTATGGATGAGCTTACATTTTAAATCATTAAGTAAATATATATATATATATATATATGTCACTCTGCTATGAAAAAAACATACATACACACTGTAATATACACATTAATAAAGTTAAAATGAATCATACTTAAAATGAATAAACACATAATTATTGTTGTAACAAATGGCTTATATAGATAGTGTTCTACCAACTACTGTGTTTGTTGTGTCCCAGCTAGCCTGATGAGCTCTGGATTGAGTGAAACACATTGTTGACGATGGATTTGGCAAAGACAATGTGTTTGGAATCCTATTATCATTATTATACACTCGTCTAATTCTTTAAAATCCCTAAGGGACTAGGTGAAGAATGCAGTGTTAAAAATATAATAGCAGACCTGCCAACTCTTACGATTTAGGCGTAATTGTTCCACTTTTTAATTTTATACCTGTATGAATTGTTGTGTTATTTTACAGTTTTATGCAAAATTCTGAAATTTTTTTCACCAAATCAATATCTATAGTTTAGATATTATTGATTTCTTTATTACTTTTGCTAGCTGTGAATTACATAAAGACAGAATCAGGAGTATTTCATATTGTAGTTGTGGATTGTTTTGCAAGCTACTGTTTTTTTTTTGTGTGTGGAATAATGGTCTTACAGAAAAGAGTTGTATCATACAACTCTTACATGTGCTACTTTGGGATCAGTTTTTTTTATTTGTAAAATGATTTCTCTGCATGCTTTGGTTTTTAGGAGTAACTTCCAGCTTTGCTTACTGTAGATACTTTATAACATATTTCGATCAGTTATCATACTACGAGTTGTATGTGTGATATGAATAATTTTTGAAATCTGCCTAATAAGGATTACTGATAGTTCAGATGTTTGGGGATTACTGTTGGAAATGACTCAATTATATTGTGAACAGCAAAGTTTCTTTGATACAGGGCTTTACTAGTTCTTCTGGCTATGTGTTATGAATGGCATGCTAGTAGGTCGGTGTTTTTATTTAGATTGAGTTCCTAGTTTGTGATTCCTATTTTGTTTTCAGCTAACTGAAGATGATTTTGGGTAGTGATTCTGCTGGAATATATATATGTATTCTGATGTGATTGTGAAATCATGTGGTTTAATATTAACTTCTTTATGAGCTATGGCTTGTGGAAATCACTTATCTTAGATAATTCAGTTGTGCTGTTCATCAGACTTTTTGGCTGTGCTAGCAAAGGTTAAATTATCACATTTCGCCTGTTAACTATGCTGACAAGGGTTAAGTGTTACATTACTACTATTTGATTGGGTCACCTGATGATTAGTGTTTTAAATTACTATTTTATTAGCTGTGTAATCTTAGAATTACTGTTTCACTTTTGTTTTGCTAGCTTGTGAAGGTGGGGAATTCATTGCATTATGAAATGTTTAGTTTTCTTGGTTTAATATTTCTGCTTTACACAACATTGTCTGAATTAACTTCATGATGTGATTCCTTTGTTAATTGCTCTCTGTTAATGACTACTGTTGGTGGCTTTTAGCTATATTGCTTGAAGATTAATGTGTCATAAATGTTTTAGTTGATATTTGGAATTAATAATTGATACCATCTCTTTGTGAAACTGCCTGCTAAGAATTACATGACAACCTTAGTCAACTCTGCCAGTTAATTAATGCTCAAAGCAAGTCTTCTGTGTTTTATCTGTTGCATAATTCTTAAAGCATGTACTCTCCCTTTTGCCTGCTAGTTGCATAATTCTTAAATCAAGTGTTTTTGTTTCAGCTACTACTTGGGTTTTATTGAAAGCAAGTCTTCTCTGTTTTATCTACTTTTTGAGTGTTATTGAAGACAGATTTTCTGTTACCTCTGCTTGTTGGATATTGCTTAAAACAAGTCTTGGAATTTATCTCTGCTAATTTGAAAGAACGCAATTAGTAGTTAGTATGTAAGAATGTTTTTGTATCTCTTCACACGTATTCCACTAATGTATTAAAGAATTTATTTTATGTAATATTTAATTTGGCTTCCTAATTCCAGTAGTATATTTCTGTAATTAAAAATATATTTATATTTGTTTGGAGACACTTGTTTTTACTTTAAAACAAGTAAGGATTATTCAGTATCCAGCTTAATTTTGTCTTGTTTTTTAAATATATCTATAAAAAAAAGTATTTTTAAACACAAAACTTAAAGTGATATAAAATTACTTATGTTTTGATATTCAAGCACTAATATTTATTTATTTACATCTCATTTTTCATTCAACAGAGGCTCAATATAGCAAGAGAATTTGGAGACAAAGCAGCTGAACGCAGAGCCCACAGCAATTTGGGTAATGCACATATCTTTCTTGGAGAATTTGAAACTGCAGCTGAACACTACAAGTAAGTTATATTGTACTATGAAATAGTTGTTGATTAGGATTTATTAGATACATGAATAATTTGAACCCTAATGTAATGGATGAAATATTTACAAGTATTCTATGTTGCATGATATTATTGATTCTAAATTTATTTTTGTGAGGGTGGAAAGATATTTAGAAATATTCGTCATTTAAACACGTAAAATGTTTTTAGACAAATCTTAAAAACTGCTTAAGAGTTTATTATTGCAATATTGTTTCACAGTTAAACATGATTAAAGATGTATGATTAAAACCTAGTAAAACAAATACAACATTTGTCATGACACTCCTGCTTGTATCTATTATACAAGAATCTGTAATATACTAGTGTTTAATACAGTGTGTATAGTAATCTAATGATGCTTATGCAATGTAATGAAGGAAACTAAGCTCACAACTAGGTGTCTAGTGATCTAATGATGCTTATGCAGTGTAATGAAGGAAACCAAGCTCACAACTAGGTGTCTAGTGATCTAATGATGCTTATGCAGTGTAATGAAGGAAACTAAGCTCACAACCAGGTGTATAGTAATCTAATGATGCTTATGCAGTGTAATGAAGGAAACTAAGCTCAGAACTAGGTGTCTAGTGATCTAATGATGCTTGTGCAATGTAATGAGAAGGAAACTAAGCTCACAACTAGGTGTCAAGTGATCTAATGATGTTTGTACGATGTAATGAGAAGGAACTAAGCTACATCTAGGTGGCTAGTGTTCTGGTGATGCTTATACAACATTAATGAAGAGACTAAACTTAGTTAAGTGTCTAATGATCTAATGATGCTTCTACAGTGTGATGTAGGAAACTAAGTTCACAACTAGGTGTCTAGTGACCTATTGATTATTATACAACATATAATGAAGAAACTAATCATATTTGCAATGAATGTGTATAGTGCAAAAGATTGATTTTTTCACAAGGAGGTGTTTGTAGCATACTAGTGAGATTATTACAGGTTATTGAGTTAGACAGTTTAACTTAATGTAAATTAACTAAACTTGTATTAAAGTGTAGATTGCTGATGAGGCTAACACACTTACTATTGATGGGAATTAATATTATTCTATATTTAGTTAAATTAATTTGCTTGAGTAAACTTCCAGCATCTGTTTTAATTTAATTTTTTTAGGAAAACTTTGAGTCTTGCTGAAGAACTTGGAGACAGAGCTGTAGAAGCTCAGGCCTGTTACAGTTTAGGCAATACCTACACTCTTCTTCGCGATTATCCCACTGCCATTAAATATCATCTTCGCCACTTACAGATAGCCGAGGAGTTGAGGGATAGAGTTGGTGAAGGTCGAGCATGCTGGAGTCTTGGCAATGCCTATTCTGCCATTGGTGAGAATGAAAAGGCACTGCAGTATGCTACAAGACATTTAGATATTTCAAAACAGGTATTTAATTTATTCCTAGTATGTATTTTTTCATCGATCTCTGAAAAATGCAAAATACTTGTTTTTTCACAATTATCCATATACATATTTATAATAAAGACTTATTTCAATTTTTGCCCACCAATGGCACAGCAGTAAGTCTGAAGGCTTGTCATGTTAAACACCTGATTTTCATACCCGTGGTGAGCACAGCACAGGTAGCCCATTGTATAGCATTGTGCTTAACTACAAACAAACTTATCTTAATTCATAGTATACTCGCTTTATGCCAAAAACAGTCTACAATATGACTAATTAATTTATGCCAATTATAAAAGATTTATTTGAATTTTGGTATATCTCTGAAATGTTGATATTTATTTACTACAGAAGTAAAGTATGGCTGTCATCAAAATGTTTTAGGAATTATAATTACCACTCTTTTCAACTTCTTTTTGTCTCATTTTGCTGAGATCAAGTTTTTGAACTTATTTAATTCAGTTTCTTAGTAGGTGTAGTGAAACGAGGTTAGTTTCAATTTTGTGGCTATAATTAGTCAATCTTATGAAATTGTATATATAAAGCTTATTTTATTTATCTGCTTTTCCAGCAGTTGCTTATATCAAGAGTTATGGTGGTATTTGAGTTTGAGTCAGGTTTTGTGATGGTTCTGTTATTTCAGAGGTGATGTTTTTTGTTTTTTTTAATTAACCCTTTCACTACAGGATTGGTCCCTGGGACCAACCTTGTAACCATTTTGTGCTTGTTATAGTTTTCTTACTGTAACTTTTAATACAGTACGCTTATCTTCACGAAATATGGCAGATTCATTAAACATAACAAGGCTTTCGTAAAAAAAAATATCAGATTTTTTAATTAAAGATTTGCTCATGCATTTTTTTCTTTTTGAATGTTGACTATCCCACATGCAAAGTAATTTTGAGTTTGAGACTAAAGTTGCCTTTATGCATAGGAAAATTGTCATATTTCATGTGCAAAATCTCTATCACCTTCTAATAAAATAAGATAAGTATTAAACTTTTTTTAAAAAAAAAACTTTATATTTGATCTGTTATTTTCTCTACCTTAGCTCTGTACAGGTTTGGTCAAATTGACTAACCTCATAACCACCATAAAAAAAATTAGGAAATAAGATTTAAGTTATGCTTTTTTTGTTCTAGAATGGCTACGAATTGTAACATGAAATCACAAGTGTTTATTATAAATAGCTTAAATCTCATAACATTATACATCTCTATTTATATTTATTATTTTTATTTTATTGACCTTTCAGCTATGTCTGACTAACATTACAGGAATTGCAATCATAGTGCATGTGCATCTCATGTTACTGTGTCCAATAGCATATTACTGGTATTTGCAAAGTGATCTGTCTTGGCTTTGTTCTAGTGAACCAGTATTTTGCACAAAAAAAACTACCAAAAGAACTTGGAAAATGCACATAGTGGAAGATTCAGTGACAAGGACCCATATACGAGACTTATCAATAAACACGTCAAAACTTACAGAAATCGTGCAGTACTGGGGGTTAACTGTAAAATACAGTCACATTTTGGTTATAATTACACACACACACACACACACACACACACACACACA